TACCACCTTTGGCAACCAATAACTTCTGGCCGGCTTCGTTAATATCACCAAGTAAACGCTGTGAACCGGAAGCCCCTCGCGCAGTTGAACTTACGGAGACGGTGATGCCGACAGGAACTTTGACCACAATGTCTTCAGCATTGGCGGCCAAACAGACACCACGGCGAGAGCTGGCTGGACGACCCGACTTAGCCTGAGAGAGTAAAGACAAGAAAGCCATATCTGTGAAAACAACACACAACGCCTGACACTATAGCGAAAAAGAAACCTAACATAATAAATGTACATGAGAAGAAGCATTAGCAAACAGCAAAATGGAAATATTAACCACCCGAAATTTAGCCTACGACGTCACGCATATATTCAAAATACCGGGATCATCCGAACATAGGTCGGGACACAGCGAAAGGGCTAGCAAGCTTGTCTACCTTTGCGTGGACTAGCACAAGATACCCGAATAAGCAAATGAACAAAGTAAAATCAATCACACATGTGTGATAGTGGACCGATTGTCCGGAAGCCATTAAATAAGAACGACGAAAAAATATTTATTCCGCCTCACTAAAAATATATAGACTAACAATAAAGCGTTTTTTCGGGTTGGAGAGAAGAACATCCTCCAGCGTCCGATTATCTTCGGCAGCAAGAAAAATGCTACCTCCATTGCCACCCTTTCCACGGATCTTTGGGTTGCCTGGACTGCCTGAACCAGCTTTTACAAAAAGGCGAAGTTTGTCGATAAACTGGCTGCCTTTGCGGCCCATCAAATGATGTGGCTGCCGAAAATCAGAGACCGTTGTTTTCGTCTTTGCCGCTCGAAATTCGGTCTATTCAAATGCATTATAGATCTTACAACAATCTGTGTTCAAACTCCTCATGCGCATACTTGGAACTAACTACCTATGTGTTGGTTTCGTGTCCCTCCGTCTTTTTAAAATCTTCCTGAACGTTTTGTTGCACTCGAGCTCACTACGGGTGTATATAGTTGTATTGCTTTTGTAATGACGTATGTGTGACGATTGAGTGTATCTTTGTCCAGCTCGAATTCTTTTTTTTTGCTGGAAGCTCTCATACTAGCTTATTTGACAATTTATCGGTTTTTACTGTCTAACACATCGTTTCCACTACAACGAAAACCTAGTTACTAGAAGCTTGTCGCGTATGAAGGTGGTGGCATCAATATAAAGCCGACGCTGAATTCAAACTCTGGCGTGTGAATTAACAGTCTACTGCACCAAACTCGAACTTTTCCCAGTTTTGTGGCACTGTTACTGCCATTAGTACCCGCGTCCTTATTCATGACCTTCTCCGAAATTGATCACTCACTGCTGTTCCAGACTATACAAAACTCTACGCAATTTTACACGATCTACACTCTATTCCGGGTCAGAAATGAGACCTGTCATATACCAAGATGTCTTTTCAAACTGAGAGCTGAGGCATCACAAGTAGACTTGGGTGTTCACATTGGCGGAATCGTCACCGAGGCCTGGAATTTTACTTAAGGTACATTTGTCACATATAATGAGCAGTCATAGTTTTTATCGAGGACTGTCACACCCGGCCGACCTCAGTCACTAAAACGAACGCTCAGAAAGGTGGTCAACAAGCAAAGAAGGCTATGGAAGAAACTTTGTGGAAACAATAAGATTCAACTTTCTAATGATAGACAGTCCAAATAGAGGAGGGAAGAAAGCGACATTCAAACAACGAGGGGATTTCGAAAGTATTTTGCTCCACCAAGCCTTCAAAAAAATTAAATTGCTTTCAAGCTGTTTGTGAAAGAGCACACGTAACAGTCGACTTCCAAGAAGCTCTTCGCCGATTTGATGAGAAGTCCCTCAGATTGTTCCTGTCCTCCAACCCGAAAAAATGCACCGTGCTGCGTCTTCGAAACCGAAACCGGGCCCCCACTATACGGCAGTATTATCTGAATAGTGCGACATTCTAAAAAAACAAAAACACAGAAGGATTACAGATACTCAAATGCCTTGTTAATGTTTGTATAACTTTGTATTTATTCCTACCACAGCACTAATTTTGTAATGAAAGCGCCTCCTGGCCCTCAAATATACAAGTTATTTATGTTTTTAAGGATGGTTAAAGCCGGTATTTAATTACTGTTCATTATAAAGTGAGCATTTGCAACTTCTGCCATGGATTGCACCGTCAAAACGTTCGGCAATTTTGTACGACTACTTTCTGAATATGCGATCCGGACCTTGGGACTGTGAGTTCAGCA